TTTTTGGAGGTGGGGATGGTGAAGAGGAAGGGGCACACTTCTAGGTTAACATCTTTGGGTTTGTATTTCCCAAAAACTGACAACGTAATTTGAGATGCCTATGTGCTGATCCTGTGTTACGGGCCCTAAGGTGGCTTTGCATGTCTGTGCTTGCATGTACATTCAAGACAGAATGACTGACTCAGTACCTAGCCGAATGCTGCTCCTCCTCACAGTCAGCAAAGAGATAAAAAAGGACACGCTGGTAGGTGGCTTCAGTCAGTCCCGCTTCTCTCCACTCATCTCAAAGGGAGGAAAGGACAGAAATACCCTATGGGCAATCTTAATTCTTCTTCGAAGTCTTGAATGTCGGTTGGCACAGCAAGAGGCTGGAATACAGTCCTGAGTTTTCAGAATAGCCTGAGGCCTCTCAATAATATAAGATTCTTATACAAGCAGAAAAATATGTATGGGGTATCTGGAGCTGCTCCTCACAAACTCTCCTCTATATTACTTCCGCAGCTATGAAAGAAAATCAAAACAGAGTGCAACAAATTGGCCCATATAGAATTAGCACAGATTTCCCTGTGTCATTCTCTTGCTTTGCAGTTCCTAGCAGGAAGAGGCAAGAAAAGAAAGGACCTATCTGACTCCCTGCTGTGTGAGGGGGACAGCCTCGAGGAATGAGCCTCATGCTGCCCTCCTGATGTCATGTCCATTTGAAAACCCAGACAAAACAGTGATGCAGGAAATACAGCAAGAGGAGTGACCACCAGTACCACTATTTGGGGCTTCAGAGCATCCTCCTGGAAGGTGACAGACAATTTCTAGTTTAGGACAGGCATACTTTAGGTTACATTAATCCAGATATGCCCCGTCTGCAAGGCTCAAATAAGAAAATCAAGTTTAAAAAAAAAGAAATAATTGTTTTCATTGCTGTTTATAGATTGGGCTTTCTGTACTTTGTCACAGTAGTGGACTGGGCCTGAAAACCAAGAACCTTGGCATAGGATTTGGCACATCAAGTATGACACCTTATCATGATACTGTGTACAGGTCTCAATGTGTGTGCTGAGGTGTGAGTTGGGTATCTAAGCTCCCTATGACCACTGTCAATATATCCAGAGGACCCCAGAAAGTATCAACTTCTTCTGAAGCAAACACCTACTTCTGGTGTCTCAATAGTGATCCCATCTTAAATGGCAGAATTCCACAGACTGTAATGGGACCCTAGACACCTGAGGCACATGTAGGCACCTGTGTTCAGATGGCATCAGATATGAGATGACTCCCAGCTAATTCAGTTACCTAAAAATAGATACTTGGTGCGATATGAAGAAGCCTGAAGTACTCTGCCTGTCTCTCATCTGTCACTCTGGAAGACCAGAAATCTTTCACAGGTCCTTTGTCATTCCTGCCAGTCCCATGCAAATACATTTTATGGACACTCTGGCTTTCTAAAATATCAGTGAAAATTTATGTTTAGGTAAATGACTCAAGTTCCCTTACTAGTTTTGTGTGTTTGTGGGAGACTGGAAATACAGAGCTCAAAATGGCATCACTGCTGTTTCATTGCTGGCCAGGGTGGATAGATAATGGAAAATCCCAGACAATATTTATCCTGCAGCAAAGGCCAATGGGATCATTGCAGATGAACTGGCTGCTGGCAGAAACTATGTCAGCCTGGAGCTGCCTCTGGGCAGCTTGTCATTACTTGCATTGCTGATCTGTCTGGGTTTGGGGCTGGTCCTAGTGCCTAGTGTCACAAGACCATAGGAGACAGCATGAGGCTCATCACTCTGCAGTCCACAGGGCAGTGGTGCTGCTGGAGAGTTCTGAGCCATGCTTACTACTCCTGGGACATTCAAATACCAATTACTTTGTGGAACTTTTACAGAAAATTAGGAGCAAACTGTAACTGATGCTGATTGTTAAATACCACAAGGCATACTGGGAAATCAGATGCATTGAAAGCTCTTTTTTTGAGTGTTTTTCTCTTCCTAGCAGCTTCACTGCCCACAACACTCCTGGTTGATTTTTAACCAATTAACTGGGCAACAGGGTGGAATACCTGCCAGAGTTACTTGTCCTCTCCTCCAATCACTGTGGCATGCAGCACTGTTAGTAAATGTGCATTGCAAAGGGTATTGATGACCCACAGTCAAGGCCGTGCTTACAAAGGGTATTACTCATGGAATTCAACCTTCACGCAGGGGTGGATCAGCTGGTTTGGACCACTCTCGGTATTACCAGGTATGTGTCGTTGGTTCACAGACCACAGGAAGCTGTTTGCTCAGGCATAAAACTGTGTTGACACAAAAGCACTTCTTTCTGCCTAGTTAGGACCTGTTATAAAACCTTCTGATCTCAATGGACAACTTTCCCTTGCTTCTAATCAGCTTTGCCTCAGGTTTTACATAAACACACAATGAAGAAGCTTCATTTCCAAGCTCTGATCAGGGACATTCTTAAGTTTTCTAAGTTATTTGTGTAGATGCCCAGAAGTCTTCTGCTGGTCCAAATCCCTGCCTGTGCTTTGCCTCCGTGGCCTTGCCCTACTGTTCCTCTCTTCCTACTCCTGCTGCTGATGCCTGGCTCTGCATCCTCTGAGCCTATCTTCTGTAGCTGAAGGATGGGAACTGTGCTTCAGAGGCATGTCACACTTCCAAAAGCTTTTGAAGATTTTTTGAGTCCACTGGATGATCAGTTCACTTGAGGAAAAAAAAATTGTAACACCTTTCACATGTTTCCAGGCTTTCTGTCTTTTGAATGACAACATCCATGTGAGAACAGCTGGAACAATGGCAAAACTATTCAGTGGAGTGCCATAAATTGGTGCAGGCATACCGTGGAAATTATATTACAGAGATTTGTATTCAGAGCTGCCCAAAAGAGATGTTTTCATCCTTCTCTAATGAATTGTCCTTGCCTTCTCCTTTGCTCTGCAGCAGAATGATATTCCTCACCTGTGAGTATTGATGTTAAGGGAGAGAATGTGTCTTTCCTTTAAATCTGCACTATAGCAGTCAAACAGAGCAGAGAAGAACTGCAGGTCCTCCCAGTTCTTAGGAATGAATACATCCACTGCCTCAGGAAATGAGAGTTTTGGGGGAGAAGGTCTATTCTCAACAGCATGCTGTTTCAGAAGGGGGCTGTTTCATTTCATAAGAACAGAAGAAGATTGCAGCAAAGCTGCTGACAATGAAAGGGTAAAATAAATGTTTTTCAGCATTTCTTTAAAGTATATTAACACTGGAAGGTTTGGGTTTTTAAAATAATGTAAGCATTTCTAGGCGAATGGTAGTATATTGGTGTAAATTGTGTTAAGATTTCACTTATAGGAGGGGTTTTTTGTTGATATAATAGATTCAGAAGCAATTATTCAGTTGTTCTTAAATAGAATATGGATATGGAATACAGAATATAGGTGATGAATCAATGGATTTTCTATAAATATGTCTGATAACTGCTGATATAATTCACTGTTCTTTTCTGTAACTTGTTTCTAATACATGCTAACATTTTCAATCAATAAAAGAGTATAATATAATGTGGAATCAACATACTAACAAATGTAAATGACAGATATTGGAGTAGTAATAATTCATCTTTAGACCTCACACGGTGTCCACTGAAATTTGTGACATGCTTCCTGTTGACACCTGTGAATTGTGGGCAAAGCCAAAATAGTTTGAGCTGCTGATCTGTAGAAGAGACACATACACCCCTGAAGGTCTCTAGGAGTCAGCAAACAAACTAATTTTTACCTACTTCAGAGTGCAAGACCAGACAAGATGCTGGCCTCATTGTATTACCTCCCATTGTATTACCTCCATGGCACATGTTGTACTGGAGGAATTTATCAAGTGCCATACATAGACGAGGAAGAGAATTATGTGAAATATATTTAGACCTTCAAGATATGTTGAACAAGAAACACGTGTGTGCACATATGGCCAATTTAAATGCACTGAAATGGCTGACAGCTCTTGCTTCAGCCCATCCCCCTTATCTGATGCAGTACAGCCCCTGGAAGCTCATTGGAAAACCTTGAGCCCCAAACAGCCCAGATCAGAGGGAGGTCAGCTCTCACCCTTTCTGTTCAAGCCAGGTGAGACCAAAAGCCTCGGTCCATGCTGGGGAAGTCTAGGTGCCATTGTCTCTGAGGTAAAAGTGTGACCCTGTTCTGCAAAGTGGGCAGTTTGTCCTTGTGTCCCTGGCCACCTAGAGCCCAAGTGGAATAAAGGGATTTTGCCCGTGTCTGGAGACAGAAGGACAGGACTCTATAATAGCACACCACAGTGACTAGCCACAGCTTGTGCTCATTTCACACAGCTGAGGTTTTTTTTTAAAAAAAAGGGATTAAGAGTGTCCAAACCCCAAACAATGTGAGGGCCTGCTTCAGTATGGCTGAAAGATTATTCCAGCTGTTTCAGGCTGGGAGCCTGAAAAAGCAAAGCTTGCCTCCCATAGTCTGTGGAGCTCCAGACACTTGGACATGAGCAGCTTGGTTTGAGCAGAGGGCAGACTGGCAGCTAATGCTAGATAAAAGGACACAAAACATCACTGTAAATAAGAAGGGAACAATTATAAACCTTAAAAATACCCTTCAGGAAATGCATAGCTGCTGTTCAGTTGCTAGCTGCTGGATCTTTTGTTCTGCTTACAGCTTTCCATCCATTTATTTTCCCTTTCTTTTTATAAGGACAAACACTGAGTATACAGCACAGCCTGCTTCAGCCAGGACTGGAGGCCACGGGTAGCAGTGGTGCCTCTGGGCGTTGTTCTGGCAGCCTCCTGAGCCAGAAGCAGGGAACCTACTGGGACAGTTTGTTCCCTGCTGGCTGCACCAGGAGCTTAAAAACATGTTTATGTCGAGTCAGCAAGAGCCGCCCAGGCTGGTCACGCCACTGCTCTCCCTCCTTTTCCAGGCTGCTGGAAGGAGCTGCATCAAAGTCCAAGCCCATATTTGTCTGTTCCAGGTGCTGCCTGCAGTTTGCTCCTGCCTGCCTGAAGCCACTTCCCTACCATCTCACCAGTGCACCCAGGTCACCTGAAACTGAAGGGCAGCCAGGGCTGCCTCTCTGCCCCTCTCCCTGCCCCATGTTGGAAAGGGCAGCTCTCCCTGTGCTCAGGCTGGTGCCAGCAACCAGGCAGAACTCAGTGCCATTTGATATCAAACCCTCTCACACTCACAGCATGGCCAGGCAACAGCGGATAGTGTGCCCCAGTCAGCTGACAAAGGAGTCCTCCTTCTTGATCTTCTACAGGTAGGATGCAATCCCTGTCAAAGCTTAAGGGGACACCAAGTGTGTAACTCAGGTACGTCTGAAAAGCACGGAGGTGCTGTGTCAGGTGCCTCGCAAGAGGGGACCGTGATGGCCACAGCACAACATGTCAGGTACCAGTGGAGCTTCAAACAGCTGGAAAGAAAAGTAGGAGAGAACTGGGTTACAGAGACCTCTGTGATCCAGCTCTCTGCAGCTGAGTCAGGGTCTCTTGGATGCCTCCATCCAAGCTTGCTAAAGCCACATGTTTGCCTGGGCTGGGGTTGTATATGTATCTGTTTATTTGCCCACTGTTAAGGTTCCCCTGAGAGTCCTCAGCTGCCCCTGAGGACAAGTGCAGGAGAAAATGCTTGGGTTTACCTTGAACTTGCAGTCACTGCAGTGGGAATCTGCTCTCCACAGAGCATCTGCAGCCCACACTGGTGGCTTAGGAATCCTTTGTGCCAGGAACAGGCCTTTGAGTATGCCTGAGGGGGAAGGGCATACAGGAACACTAATTGTGACCAAATGGAGTCTTGTGGTATAATAACGTTCAAGTATCACAAGTCACAGTTCACAGCCCTCAAAGTGCTGATTCTCATTGTTAAGTAAACAGTGTTTAATTGTCTTGTTTTGCATTTAATTTCTTTTATTCTTTTTCTAATTTGCTGTAGAACTTCACCTTCAAATGTGCATGGCAACTCTCTCAGGTTTATCGAGACACTTGAAAGACCCTCAGTGAAGGGAAGGTCAGGACTGTGGGAGAAATGGACCCAGATGACAAACTGAAGTCCAAATTTCCAGCAAGGTATCGTTCTGAGCTGCTGGCACCACAAGGTATGGTCACCATGGACACAGGCTGACGGAGTGCCCTTGAGTTCAGGACAGCTGCACACCTTTTCCCCAGAAGTAAACTTGAAAACAGCAGGATAGACTCACAAAAGGGTTGGCTCAGCCTTTGGGATGTAGGTGTAATTCAGTGGACTTTGCTGTCACTGGGTCTTTAGGGACAGTTTTTCTCTGCATGAATGTTAAAATATTACTTTTTGCAATGAAATGGCTTTGCTCTGACTGCAGTGATGTCTCTTTGCCAGTGCTTTCCAGAATGCTGTGTGCTTGTAGCCAGCTTAGGCACTACCCTGTCCTGCAGCAATGTCTGTGTTTTCATACTGTGTGAACCAATGGCCATATATTTATAAGGCACACAGTTCTGTCCGCTCTTTTATAGTGCATTGTTTTAGACTTTCTGTGTGTATTCCTGCTCTTTTGTTCCTGCACCTTCTTCCTCAGACCTTAGCTGTGATATATTCTTAGTCTCTAACCAATTAGTGATTTTTGTAGGGTTATTAGAAATAGTTAAAGATCCCTATTCTCAACCAGAATTGTCTGGATTCAAACCCCTTCCTTCCCACAAATAACCAGCAAGCTTACAGCTATACTGAGGTAGTGCAACTCCACACGTACAGTCACTATTGGCATAAAATAACTCAGCGCCAATTGCAGTGTCAACAGCCTGAGCAGCCACACCAACTGCACTGTTATGAAGCTAAAGCACGGTGTGATTCTGGCACTAGGCAAAAGGCCGATACCAGCATTGCTAGTCAGCGCCAGCCTGAAAGAACAAAACTGAACGGTTCATCAGTGGTGTAAAAATCATCACATGCCCTGATGTCCTCATTTCGAATGCCTTAATTGTAATTTAGCAGCATTCCATAGGGTGCCTGTGCAAGGTAAAGGTCAACTCACAGCTGCCACATGCTAAGAAAATGTTAACTGTGTATTAAAATCAAACAGGTCATTGGAATGCATGATATTCACCATCTCTTTCCACTTTGTGTCTTAGGAAGCTTGAGATGCATTTGCAGAAATAGTAAGAAACAAATTTCTGAGCAGCCAACTGATTTCATCTGACAGTTGCTGTATATAGCAATCTTTTCTGACCCACTTGTCTGCTGTACAAGAGGTCCCTGCCGTTCTACAAATAGAGCCTGTGGTGGATCTTTCACTACTTTAATATAATTCTTGGGGAGGTTAAGGTGTCAGACACTAGCTAGGCTTTGGCATCTCTGCTAATAGCATGTTCTGCACTATCATTTAGTAGAAGTGCAAACCCTAGGGATTACAGGGAAATTCTACTGCCATATCCTGAAAGTAAATGGAAATATTGCTGCATCTGACCCATCTGTATCTTGTAGTGTTTCAGAAAAGCAACAGCAGCCCTTCAAGAGCCCTGCAAACCTTCCAGCACCTTGAAAACCTGTCATGCCTCTTTGGCTTCTCAGAGTTTAATAAAGGTACATAATAGCATAGGCCACCCCAAACTGTTTCAATCTTCCTTTCAATCTTGAAGACTGAACTCTTGTATGTTTAATTTAAAGGTATTTGTCCCATGAGCAAAATCTGCTGCCAGAAGCATTAGTGTGCTTTCAAAGGACGTTCCTCAAATACAAATGAGCTGAGTCCCTGTGAACATTTTAATAGATCCAGCAGTGCTGGAAGATAAAAGTAAAGCTGCCACCTTTCATGTTCGACCAGAACTTTTCCCCTGCTGCTTAATATTTTTGTTCCTGGCATTTTACAAAAACAGTCAGTCTTGCTCAGCCTGGGAGATTTGTATAAATTCATGTTCACAACAGTTAACTTGATTCTGTCAAAACTGGTGTATATGCTGTAAGATATTGCCCCATGGGAAGATAGGAGATGCTTTTTCAAGATGGTAAGTGTCTGTGAATAAGTAAAATTTCATTGATGCCAAAACACTTATGGGAACTTATTTGTTTCAGCTTGATTTGTGTTGAAAACTCCAACTGAAACCAGGTCAAAGATTTTGACTGGGAGGTCTCCTCACACCTGCCAATGTGTGCACAGACCCATGGAGAGCTGCCAGAATCAAAACAGGTATTACAACACCATTCTGCTTTCATGTAGTCACGAGGCTTGGTCCAAATCCTTACAAGATGATGCAGACAGCCTCATCATCCTCCACAGAGCCCTAGTGACAATGCCATACAACAGCATGAAAAGGGACACAGACAACCCAACCCCTTTCTCTGCTGGCTTTGCAAATGCTAAGGACAGAAAGACATGAAGTCCTGGCTGCCTGTGCCAGGTGGCCTAATGCCCTATATTTTGCTTTGGGCTTTGAACCTTTTCCTCTTTATAAGGCAAACTCATTTTCATGCAGTCCATTATGAGAAAAGCAAGGGATGTGGAAGCAGCATCCCCTTGTGCTGAAGGTCCTGAGGCTGAGTATTGCTACCATTCAGCCATTCTGATCAGGAAGCTTGTTTTTGGAGTAGAGGTGGGTGACACTGATTTTTAAGTCACCGGTAATGAACATATCAACAAAACTGGTATCATGTTCTAGGACCACTCTGTATGCGGAACAACTGTTGATACTTATCCAAAGCCCCCTTTCTGGAGAGAAGATCTACTTAGCACATCTTTCAGCCTTGTGCAACCTTCTGGTCTTAATTCCACTGCCAACAGCAGCACTGGGAAACTAGACTGTCTCAAGGACAAATAGTGAAAGTTTTAAAAATGTTGGCTGAAGGCTGAGCAGGAACTGGTCAACATTTACTGCTTTCTCTTCCAATGTCCTGAGATGATGCTCTGCAGGCTCTGGATCCTCCTCTTGTTGGCAGGACAGGCAGCAATGTTGGAGAGCTAAATCAGCCAACCTCTTTTGGACTCATTGTCCCAGTGTCTATTTTAAGTATGAATAGACATTTAAAGCTTTTGCAGGGAAATACAGTCCTGAATGCTGTTAGACTTCAGTTTCACTTAGGGACTTTCCACAAACAAATTACTGGAGTTTTGAGTCAACCTGAATCCAATAGGGCATCAGGAACTAAGTTTAAAATTATTGCAAGAGCACTTTACAAAGAGGATGTCCATATTTCTATGAGCAGCTAAGTTTAAAATTATTGCAAGAGCACTTTACAAAGAGGATGTCCATATTTCTATGAGCAGCTGAGTTATGGCTCTGCACTGGCCCACAAACACACTCAGAGTGTCCCTACAGTCATAGAAGGGGTAACTTTTTTTGTCCGCAATGCATGTGGCTTGAGAACACCTCCCAGAAAAGCATGAGAACCAAACCCTAGAATCTCAATGTTATCCATTGAGAAGTCATTAAGGGAGCTGTGGGAAAGAGCCGCCAATAGGAAGTGTAGTTCATTCTTTGTGCCCATCTGTGCTTTAAATATTCTAATAGGCTGTGGAATGCAGTGGAAATGTTTCAAACATGGCTACATCTCTACTGGGAAGCCCAATGGCAAAAAGCAATCTTCTCATTTCACAGAAGATACCAAAAAACCCTGAAAACATTTTTCTGTCCTTTTAGGTCATGACTGTGCTCAAACATGTGGTGTAGAGGTCTCTCATTATTTCCATGTGCAACCATCCAGTCTGATGCAGCTTTGAAAACATAAAAGCATGATCAGGAATTCTATGGCAGTATGAAATTTCAAGACATCTCCACTAAGTCATAATAATAAGACTGTGTATCCCATGAATTTAATAAAAGATGATCTTAATATCAGGTATTCCCACTCCTCTCATGAGCTACTCCATCCGGTGTGTAGGAATAGAGTACAGCAATTGAGGAAAAAAATGCTAAAAATACTAACAAATACTAAGGTTTGCTTACTCTTGGTCTTCCTAACTTCAACAACAGAAGCAATTAAAGTGCATCAATCAGGACATTTTTTTCTGTGACTGGGATATTCTCCAGTGTTTTTAACAGCTTGCAAATTCCTATGACTATAATCAGACTGATCCCACTGTGCTCTCTGTCAGATACCACAACGGCTATAATCTGGCACCTGCTTGGTACAAAGCTTGGAAGTGAGCCTGGGTGCCCACAGAATAAAAATTAAGCATGTTCGCTACAGAAGGGGAGGATCAGAGGGAATTTAGGAACACTAGTGACAGCCTTTTTATTTCCCTCTCAGCAAGAGAGTCCTGGCTAAGACAGGTCAGAAAACAGTGCTATTGTTCTGCCTTAAACATCTCTCTTCCAGAGGCAGAATTCAGAAGCAGCCAGCATGGGGACGCATTCCCAATAAAATCATGTACCTCCATCTGTCTCTTCTGGACTGCCCATCTTGCCCCATTGTCAGACTGTTAGAAAGCAACAAATGCTTTCTTACCTTGACCAGTTGGCAAATCTTCTCCCTCATGCCTGACTTAGATAGATACATCACCTAGAAAAGCAGTGGGTTTAGATAACCTTTTATCCTTTCAAATTCACTGGTTTTCCTCAGTGCAGAATTCATTGGATCCCATTGACCTGGAGGTAACTCAAGCAGATTTTTCAATAGACAACCTGCCCCAGATGCTGATCATTCTGCCCAGTAAACTACTGTAGTGGTAAACTACTGTAATATCTCTGACAGACATGTCTCTGCAGCTGTAAGGAAATCTCTCATCAGTTTATTGACGTACAGGGACCTATATTACAGTTTTATCCACATAAGAAAGCATTTACTCATCGTCTGTGTTGGCTTTGAAATTCCTTATTGGAATTGGAAACTCCTAAATAGCAATCTTCATTGCTGTCTAGCTAAACATAGGCAGACCCATGAATTGGATGTTCTCCTAACACAGCATACAAGCTTTAATTAATGAAAACTGAGACGAAAGGAAAGAGAAGCAATTTGTAACACTAAATAATCTGCACATTTCTTCAAATGCTGTTATTGCCATTTTGTGAGACACAGAGACACTTGAACAGCTTGGCTGCTCCTGTTTGGCTGGGCCTCTCGCAAAGACATAGTGATAGCAATGAGGACTGACAGCTTCACAGTCAGAGGTGCAATGAGAAGTCAGGAGTTACTGGCTCCCAATGGTGGGCACAGCTCCCCTCCTTCTTCACAGAGCCCAGAATTGCCAGGGTCTAAAAAAAGTGAAACAGCCCAGATGGATTGCATCTGACTAAAAAAGGGAAGAAAAATGGAGTTTAGCTGTAGGTCAGATCACACACTTGCCCTTGCTGTGGGATACTTGCTGTGTAAACTGTCACTGCCCTGCATTTTATCCTCTGGACTGGAGAAAGCAGCTCAGCCAGAAGTAAAGGAAATCAGTGCTGTCAGGTCCAAAAGCACAGGGTCTTCAGATCAGGGGGATTGGCAGGTCTGTAACAGCCCAGCAAACATATCTTCATCTTCAAAACACCTTTTGGTTAAGGTGGGATTCCTCTCACCTGCACTTAGCTGCCAAAACTGAGGTGCAGAGCATGCTAGCAGGCTTGGTTAATTTTATAGTCAATGAAGAGAACGATTCATATTCTTCCCAGACCATATCCAACACCATCCTGAGAGATATAGTGATGGGCATAAGTACAGCTGCGCAGGTTGCAGGGGCAAGTCTTTTCTACCTGACTTTCTTGACACCGGGATATGAATTTATCATTGGTCACAATGAGAGTATAAACAGAGACACTACATGCTAAAAGCTACCTGGGCTTGAATATCAAAGTACAAAAATTCCAGGGCTGAACAATTCAATCCTGTTTACATACTGTGATTGATAAAGGAAAAATTTCTTACAATTAAAAAGGATACAATTATGACAAAGCTTTATAAGAAACAGACAGGTGTAGTGAACAGTGAATTAACATTGAATTGAGACTCAATCAACAGGAATATACAGAAACTACTGAAAACCTGTCTGTGGTCACAATTTAAAGCACTTTGCCCATTTCTTTCTGGGAAAACATTTCTGTGACTCTAATAAATGTCCTATTTTTTGACAGTATCCTTTCTTTTACTCCCAAAAGGACAGCTGAAGAAGATTATAGTGAAACAGTATCAAAAGTTGTACAGATTGAATCTAATGCTATCTAGCAGGCAGTGGAATAAATACTGAAGGAAGCAGCAGCATCGTTTAAGCTAGGCTAAACAAAGCATGGCAGTATGTGCCCATGTGTGTTTGCAGCAGGGGCCCTTTCCAGCTCTGCCTCCCCAGTGCAAACTGCAGCTGCAGCTGTGATTTCTTGGCATAGGGAAAGAAAGCAGCTCCAAGGAGAGCTGGTAAATCCCAGCCCAGCTTCAGGCTGGCTTGCAAATGGACACACGCAGAGGGCTGTGTCAGGATTGTGTCTGGAGCTCCAGGACCCTGCACAGGCATATGGATCCGGGAAAGGAGAAACCAATGTCCGCTCTATGGCAGCTCAGTAGATGATTCCTTCTGGTTCCAGCAGCAAGTACTTCTTTATGGGCAGAGGGATGGAGAGCAAGGGCACTCCCCGATGGCACCTTTCTGACAGTATTGCCCGAATTGCACATCTGCACAAATGCATGAGTGACCGTGGGGAATTGCTGCACACGGTGAACAGAGAGTCATAGAAATCCTGGTGCCGCTGTAAAAAAGCCACAAACGTGTTTTAGGGCAATGAGGGTGTTTTTCTTCCTCCCCTTTCCCCTGCCCACATGTAGCCCTTGGCAGAACAAGGTCAAAAGCACAGCCTGCCATCTTGTCGCTTGAAGGCACATCAAGAACCAGGGACTTCATTTAGCCAAAATACCTGCACAAAATTCTTATGCTTGCCTCAGATATTTAGTGTTAAGTGAAAGACAGTGATGAAATATTTAGGTTTGGTCTGCAGGTTTGATATGCCTTATCCATCATTTTGAGGAGGGTGTTCCTCTGTGGTGTAAGTCTTGGACTGAACAGACCCTGTAGGGTGCCCAGGGTCAGAGCACATGGGTGAGTTAATCCTCTAAACCTCACCACGGGGCAGTGAGGCAGCACAGTGCCAGTGGTATTGGTGAGTTCACTGGGGCTGTAAACAGCAGAGTAGTTTTGGTCTTATCACTCCAGCGGCCTTCTAGAATATATGAAATTGCATCCCCATGAGCAGAAAAGTGCAGATGCTTACAAATAACATCAAAAAACCCCAAAGCAAATGGTAAATACATGTGACTACATGTGACTTGACCTTATTTTGTAATCTTGTTACTTGATAGACCTGGTTACACCTATTTTCAGGTTACGCTTTATGTACAGTAAAGTATGCATTTGTGTCAACAAAAGTTTTTCTTCAATTTCATGTTAAGTTCAGCTTTGACAACAAAAATTAAAACCTCAACAAAGAAACAGAACAACTGTGACCTTTTCCAAATAAGAATGTCCCAAAATTTCAGATTAATATTTTTGTTCGAATAAAAATTTTTACTGTTATTATTATTGTTGTTGCTGCTGTTATTAAGGTGAAAAAATACCTTTAACTTTTAATTTTGTTTTCACTAAAATGATTTTTTTTTTTCTGAACAAATCTGACCCCAACAAAATCTCACAGTTTCTCTGGCAATATAATTCTTCTTTATAATACAGATGGAGTTCCTAAACCTACTGACAATGTATAGCAGATATTACTGCATTTCAGCACTGATTTTAAAATTTTGGAAAAGTCCAGTATTAACAAATAACCTAGCTGTAAACTGGAATATTTGGACTATGAGGATTTCTGAATTAAAGGGATAATTATGTAAAAGCATGTAACTTGTCCCACAATTTTGCCTTTTGACACATTTTTTCCTCTTTTAATCACTTACTTTTAATTTAAATTCTCCTTGCATTTTCAGCTATGCCATTCTGTTCACAGAAACCTGACCCATGCAACAGAACCTAAAGATGCATAACCATACTCATGTTATATGGCACTTTTAAAATATTTGCTGACCTAAAAAATATATAAATATATACGTTGACAAATCTGAAGAAACACCAATAAAGCCAGAATCTTTTCACTTGCTGAATACAGGGACATCTGAGCTTCTGCAGCACCACTGACAGGGGGTCCTCCAAAGGATAATGTTGCAATGAAAATTTCTCAAAAATATGTCTTTTTTTCAGTGAATTATATGCTTTTGTCAAATGAGCGATATTAAATGGGGAAGTCCCAAATCCTCTGAGATGTTCTTCTCTTTCAAAAGCATTATTTCTTTCCTATGTTTGGATACGAGTTACGCAAATAATGAGCTTGGATTTTACTCAGTTACAAATCATTGAGAGCTTACCTCAAAGACATCCTCAGGTATGGCTGCTTTCCACTTAGATGTCGATTTGATATGTTCATAGGAATTGACAACGACCTCCACAGCTCTAGGATGGGAATGACAGGCTTGTAGCACCTGCAGGCAGGATGCATGGAGACCATAAGTACCACCAAGAAGCTGGGGCTAGCTTGGATGCTTGGCACTGTGCAACGAACTGAGACAGACACAGCCAAAGAATTATGAGAGGATAAGGTTGGAGACGCAAAGACACAAGGCCCTTCTACACTATTCAGCACAAGTTCAGCAAGAAACCCCAGGCTAGTCCCTAGTGGAGGTGTGCATATCCCAGTTTAACACCATACAGAAGTACTGGCTTAGATCTCCGGAGCAGTCTAGCTGGGGTGGGTTTTAGCACCCAAATCTAGAGATAACTTGTTCATAGCTGGGCTGAGTGACTTAACACCAGGCAAAGCCATGCACAGAGTCCTTGCTCCAGGTCATGCAGCACAGGAACGCAATAAAATCCCTTCATATTAATCAAAAATGCATTGCTACAGCAAAATTTAAAAGACCAGGAGATAACACAGGTCAGAAGTAAGGTTTTCAAGCCACACAAGGCCCCTGAGACAACTGTTCTGCCCAGTAACTTTAGCTCAATAGGGAAAAAATCCAAAGTCTATTATCACTCACCAGTAAGGAATCACACTTTGCATTCACCCAATTTTGTCCCACAGAGTCACCAGATTTCACAAACAAAACTGCAAAACATCCCTCTGGGATAAATATCATCCTACATTTTTTATAGATGGGCAAATGTTGGTTTGGAAGAGACACACAATTCATGCAACAGGAGAAAGGCAGAGGCAGGAAGAGGAGACCCCAGACCTGGCTCTCAAATGAGCTCTAGGAGAGCATTGTTCTGTTACAGACAGGGCCCACTCATCCTGGGTTCAAGAGGGCACAACCAAAAGTTTAGCATTTTATTCAAAGGCTTCTGGTTCCTTGGCTTGTTAAAACTTTCTA